CGGCTTCTCGCGTCCAGCACCCTCGTCCGCAGGCCCCCGCCTTCGCCTCTCCGGGACCCCGCCGACGTCGCGGCTGGGGCAGAGTCCGGGCCGCACGGAGGGGAGGGCCCGACGCCTGGGCGGGGCGGGCTGCGGCGGGCTCGGTGCCTTCCCCCGTCTCTGTAATGAAGGGCTCGCTGGACTGTCGGTGGCAGACTCGATTTGGCAGCAAAATCGCCGGGGGAGGGGTTTCTGGGGAGGGCGCGGGTCACCCCCCCGGTCCCCCGGCCCCCCAGGCGCAGCGCGGGCGACGGCGCCCGTTGCAGAAGGAAGCGTTGATAGAAAACAAGTTCGCTCCCAAACTAAACCCAAACCAACCGAAGCCACCGGGAGGGGAAAAACCAACAGCAGCGCAGCCAGCCCTCAGCAATGGTTGCACGGTCGGAATTAAATCACATCAAAACGCCCCCTGAAACCCACATCCTGCAGGAGCGAACCTGCAGCAGCCACGCTCCCGCCGCTCGCCCGGGTTCCCACGAGCAACCGGCCTCTGCCTCCCGGGGAGGGGGCCGGCCGCACCCGCCGCATCCCGGCCCGGGAGCCCGCTCGCCGCACGCGGGAGGCGGCTGCTCGTGCTCACAGCGGGAGAGACCGCCCGGGGACAGAATTGCCTCTGCCAGGCACCACCCCAAATCTTTAAGGGGGTCGGGGGGGACGTCTTCCCGGGGTCGCTTCGCCCTCCCTGTGTCCCCCTGCCTTTTCCCCTCAAGAGAGGCAGACTTCACGTGGAAAATGTCAACCCTTCCCCCAAGCAAAGCTTTGAAAAATTGGGGCGCATGGTTTCTAGTAAAGCCACGTTCCAGTGCAGCTCACGAGAAGATTTGCAATGATGCTGAAGACAAGCAGCCGACACCACTCGCACCCTCGCGAGGACGAGCAGCCAGGCACATACAGCGAGGCGCCGGGTAATTTCGTTAGAAACAATGTTTCCGACAGAGTTACAGCAACATGCCCAACGCAGCTACCCACCCTCGAGGGCCCTCCTAACAAACGGTTCCCACTGGTAATTGTTCCCAAAATTCCCGTCTTCTTGAGCTCCTAATCTGCAGGACACCTGGAGCTGAGCTCCAAATGACTCAGGGAGTCCAGATAATTAACAGGAAGGAGAAAATGGATCCGAGTGAGTTTCAACACTTAAATAGGGGGGATGTAGGAGTCGTCATTTAATCTCTCCTTGGCTTCCAGAAACTACCCTCTGGCCATTCTGTGTCCTCCCGCCTCCCCCCGCCCATCCCCAAGGTTCGATGAAAAGAAACGTCTATTCAGGCTGCTTTTGTGAAACTGCATTTTCCAGTTCTTTTTCTATTGGTCCCATTGGCACAGTTACGGGGAGGACTTTTGACTTTGTTTTCCCATATTTAAGAACAGAGGGTTCAAATGCCTAACACAGCCATCATAGTCACCTCTCTGGGACATCCACTCACACTGGTGTCTAAATTCAAGGGAAGTTGGGTACCACCACCACCCAGAAAACAAAAATTGGGGTTTTTTTTACACATTGTAGCGGAATATTCTTTTTGTTTTTCTTCTCTAAGGCATAGCATTGTCAGGTATCTAAAGCAGATTTAATGTTTTACTTTTCCTGGCTTCCTTTGACAGCCCTTACATTTTACCCCAGTCTCCCAAAGAATTTACACGTGACTAGTTGCCATGCTCTAGGGACCAACCGAACGCTTTAAATGATAAAGTTTCAAAAATTGCTTCCTAGTAAATTCTCATCCCCAAGTAGTAATCAGTAGGTGACGTTTTAAAGTACTCATTTATAGCATTGTTACAGTCTTATACAACGTCCAGCAGCCTGCAATCTCGCCGTCAGGAAGGGGGATCTTTGCCTGCCCATTTCTATATCATAGAGCCAAAGGTCTGATTCTGTAGGTTTTGCTTATTTTCAATTTAAAGAAGATGGAGATGCATTTCTTCCTGTCTCCTGTTTACTGTTGTGAGGTTTTACAGATGGCCACTGTATTGGGTATAATAATGTTGCCTAAATTTCCAACCTGGGGGGTTTGAGAGCCAAGGGACGAAATGTGATGTGTTTTTCAAACTGCAGCTTTGCTTATACTGTAACTTTCACAAGGATCTCCTTAAAACTCCCGTCCTTGTACAAAATGCATCAAAGAGACTGTGGAGACTGGGGAATTTTTGAGGTTGTATTCGGATTTGCATCCTCAAGGGTCCCTTTCAGCGCGCAGCCCAAGGAGCCAGGGACTGCCCGTCCTCCCTCCCTCTTCTGGCTTTGCTCTCCGGGGTCCCTCTTTTGCCTTCTTTCCCCCCTCGTGTCGTCTTTTCATTCTCCACGAAGTTCCCGCACACTGCGGCGTGTCTCTCCGAAAACCCACGAAGGGATCCAGCGTAAAACTCTCTCCCTACATCCCGCGGCGAGGACGCAACGAAAGAGAGATTGTTCAAAAGGCGCTCATTAAGATCCAGCCTTCAGTTTCTTCTTCCTCGTGCTGTTTTTCTCGGTAAGCCTGGAGACTTTATTTTCTCTAGCGCGTGTTCCCTCGTCCCTGTCTGCAAAGAGCGCGCGTGTGTGCGGGATGCTGTATGCGGGAAAGCCACGCTGTCTTGTCCTCGTCCTCCGTGCTTCTGCTCTCCGTCCCTGGCTGGGCAGTGACCGCTGTGCCCCCGCACCCTTCTCTCGGTCCCCGAGTCCCGCCTCGTCTCCTGCCGGAGCATCTATCAATGCGCTGCGGATCGCAGCGCGGGCGGCTTCCCTTTCATCTTCCTCCCGGGCCCGGGCGAGGGCGGGAGAGTGGGAGGCGTCAAGGAGGTGGGGGAGAGACTGGCCCGGGAAGAGCAGTGGGTGGGAGGGGGCACGAGAGAGCAGATACTTGGCTGTGAAGTTAAGCCACGCCGGCGGTGTTTCTGGTGCATTCCACGCGCGCAAAGCGAGCCTCGCCGTGGGCGACGAGCAGCGCCGCGTCCTGCCCTCCAGGCGCGCGCGCGCACATGCACACCCCAAAACTGGGACTCGTCCCGCAGGCTCTGGGAAAAGAAAAAGAAAAAGAAAAAAAAAAAAAAGGACTCGTCCCGCAGGCTCTGGGAAAAGAAAAAGAAAAAGAAAAAAAAAAAAAAGCCCTCAATCACGCCGGCTCCCCCCGCCCCCTCCAGCGGGCGGCCGAGGAGCGCGGGGGGCGGGGGAGGGGCGGGGAGGGAAGCGACGCAAGTGGGCAGCTTCTCAGCGCCGGCCCGGCGCGGGCGCACAAGCGCGGGGAGGCGCAGCCGCTCACCTGCGGGCCGGGCCGCGGAGGAGGGAGCCGGCCGCGCGCGCTCGGGCCGAGGAGCCGGGACGCGCCGGAGCCTCGCACGCGGCCGGGCGAACCTTCCGGGGCGCAGCTCCGGGCTTTGACGGAGCGGCCGGCGGGGGCGTGGAGCGCGGCGAGCGAGCCAGCCAGGCGGGGAAACTCGAGCCGGGAACAAAGAGGGCTCGGGCTGCCGGCACCAGCTTGTGGGCCCGAGGCCCCCGCCGCGACTCCCCGGACTCGCCGCGCCCCGCACTGCCGACCCCCAGTGCTCCCGGCACGAACTTTATTCTTGGCAAACTCTCCTTCTCTTCCCCTCCTCCCCAGCCCCCACCTCCTCCTCCTCCTCCAGCAGATTAAATGTGCCTCGAGAAGGAAAACCGAAGCGAAAGGGAAGGAAATAAGCAGCTCTACAACGGACATCTCCAGCCCGGGTGGCTCTTTATTTTTTTTAGTGCTTCAGGAAGTGGACCTTTCGTTGTCTGCTGATTCTCCTTGCACCTCCTCCGCCCGGGCAAACGGGGCCTTTCTGCCTCGCTCCCCTCTCTTTTCTTGGAAAACAAACTGCTCTGTCGGCGTCCGGGGCAGCTACCGTGGAGAGGTTTGCGCGAAGACGCGCCGCCGGGCTCCCCGCGCCTCTGGGAGTCGCGCCCGCTCCGGCGTCCTCCGCGCACGAACCCCGGCCACGCGGGGGGCGTGAAGCCGCCGCCCGGGCCGGGGCCGCCTAGCCTAGCGCGCGCCGCGCCGCGCAGACGCCCCCGGAGGCCTCGGGCTCCGCGAAGCGGGAAAGCGCGGGCGGCCGCCGGGACTCGGGCTCCGCCGCGGCTGCTCCCGCACCCGCCCTTGCAGCTCTCCTTCCCTCCGCCTCGGTCCTGCCGTCGCCGCGGGGGCGCTCGCAGCCGAGCGGAGATTCCTGCGCCGCCGGGATGCCCCAGCTCTCCGGGGGAGGCGGCGGCGGCGGGGGGGACCCGGAGCTCTGCGCCACGGACGAGATGATCCCCTTCAAGGACGAGGGCGACCCTCAGAAGGAGAAGATCTTCGCCGAGATCAGTCACCCCGAAGAGGAGGGCGACTTAGCTGACATCAAGTCCTCGCTGGTGAACGAGTCCGAAATCATCCCTGCCAGCAACGGGCACGAGGTGAGCGGCGGCCGCCCGGCCCCGGGGAAGCGCCAGGCGCAGGCGGGGAGCGAAGGCGCCCGGCGGCCCCCGCTGACCGGTCTCGGGAAGGTCCCCCGTTGGTGGGGAGGGTGGCCGGGCCCCCGGTCGGCGTCCCCCGTGTGCGTCGGGGTGGGAGCTGGAGGAGTCTGCAGGGAAACTTACTCCAAGCGGGGGAGAGCGGGGTTCGCAGGCGGGAAGAGCCGCCCTTAACCGTAACGCGTCTCCCCCGGACTTTTCGGTGGGGCTGGGGGTGCATTAAAGCGAGTAGGTCTGAACTCCGCTGAGAAGCTCCTCCGCAGGACGGACCGCAGCGCGCACCGCTGTCTCTCCGGGTGGATGTCTGCAGACGCGCGTTAAACCACCGAGGCTTGGGTGGGGGCGAGCGGAGCCCGCGGCGGGAGGAAGGGAGGCGGGCGTGGGCCGGGGGCAGGCGGCGCGCTCCCAACCGCCGCCGAGCAGGGCCTCGAGCGGCAGGCCGGCCCGGGCTGCGGGGGCGGTGCGGGGCTCGGTCCTGCGGCCGCGGGGGCCGTGGGCGCGCCGAGCCGAGCCACGCCGGGGGTCCACCCCGGCTGCACCGCCCTCCAGCCGCCGCAGCTTAAAGCAAGAAAGGTATTCGGGGTTAGTTTGGGCCCCGCGCAGGCCTCCAATCGATGCAGGCGGAAGGCGAGCCCCAGCCGGGCCCCGGGCGGGCGGGGTGCAAAGCGCTTTATCAGATGGCGCGGCCCGCTGCGGGCGAGGGCGCCGGGAACCTGAGCGGGGTAAATAGAGACACGTGGGTGCCGGCGGGAGAAAGACCCGAGCCGGCTGCGGGAGGGCTGGTGCAGGCCGGGCCCAGAGCTTCCGACGGGGGGCGGGGAGGAAGGGACCCTGACACCCGACACCCCACCGGCCACCCGGGCTCAGCAGCTGGGCGACCCTCCGGAGGAAATCCGGTGCAGAAGTCCTGACACCAGGTGATTTCGCCGACGCTGCTTCCCTCCAAAGAAACTTGGAGGGTATATCTTTTTTTCCCTTAAATGGCATCCTTCTGCCCCTAAAAAGAAAGCGTGTGGTTTTGGGGGCGGGGACATTTTGGGTTTTAAACAAAACGTTTAAGAACACACCTCAGAGTTACCTTCTCCATCCTAATGGCAGGGGTGAGTACGCGGAAGGCTGGGGGCCCAGGTTCGGGAAACGTAAGGCTGTTCTTTATCCGCTAAATCCAGTTTGGGGAGGACGGGGAGGGCCTAGGGCTGCACCAAACCCCCAGTAAAAGATTTGTGACTGTGTGTTCCCGGGGAAGGAGGTCACTGAGGACACAGGTCCAAGAAACCCAATGAGATACACACACTCGGGCTTTTTGCAGAGCAGCCTCTTTTTTTTCCTACCCATTTTGCTTGTCCTTGCTTAGCCCGTAAATAATTCTGACACCTGCTTCACATTCCCTACACCTTTCTGGTCTGGGTGAAGGACTCTGCCTTCCAGTCTGAGCGCTCAGGTGCTGGGGCTCCGTGAGGCTTTGCTGAGGCGGGGATGGGCACTGGGGCAGACCCAGGGAAGGCAGTGAAGAGGCGATACCACTGATTTGCACGTGGTTGAGTCTGGGTGGATGGTGGTTACCAAAACTGATATTAACTGGGCTACCTTTCAGATGTCTGCAGCCCCACTTTCAGATTTTCCTCCCTTTAAACCACAGAGCAGTTCTAATTTTCTCGTGTAAACCTGCGCTCAGCCAGCCACGCTTCGGCGTAAGCCTGAGTGGGACGTGCAGGACCGTGCTCAGGGCAGTTCGCTTAAGACCGCATCTGAGTGGTCGGCTTGTTTATGTTTAAAATATGATTTTCAGTTGCAAAACGATATTTCACCCTCCTTTCAACCAGATCTGATTGAAGCGAAGGGTGGTTGAAGAGGCTACCAAAATGATCAACCCCATAAACAACTATCGTATTAGGCCTCCAAGTAGCCTTGCTATGTTTTCATGAACAGTCAGAACAGCGTATGGATCATTCCCAGATTTCTATTTTTGTTATTTTGTACTTTTTTTGGTCCTGGGTAGATAAAATAATCACTCAGAAATACATGTTGACAAGAAGAAGACTCCCCAGTACTCAACCTGAGCCCTATCCCCCTTAGATTAACAGAACAGCTGTGTTCCACCAAAACTCCTCCTCTGAGTTACCAGTGTACATACACCTAGGTCGTTATCGTCACAAACTCTAAGGTGATTTTCTTTCTTTTGGGGGTGGGGATTTGTGAATTAGGTGGCCAGGCAAGCACAGACGGCTCAGGAGTCCTACCACGACAAGGCCAGAGAACACCCTGATGACGGTAAGACTCTGATGCTGCTTCTCCCAATTTAATCGCTTAACACATGTGATTTGTATATACGAGTGTGTTTAGGTTATTTAAAGAAACTGGGACCGAAACTATACCTACTATTTTAATAAAATGGGAAAGAAAACCCAGGAAACTTATCTCTAACATGTATTACATAATTTAAAAACTATCTCTGAAAGAGTTAGGGGCCTTTGGATTTCTGTTGGTTTCTAGGGTCTTTGGGGAAGAGGGAATGTCTATAATGAGGTTTTTCTTTTCTTCCTTTTACCTTAAGTTCTAATTAGCTTAGATCTTTTAATATTTTTTTCATGCATTAATATGAAGAATAATATTGTACATCCATTTATTTTCCAGCAAGAATAGTTTTGGGTGGATTTTCATTTGCAAAATTGCTGTTTCTTATTTCTTGTTACAATAAGAAGGCAGACAGTGAACAAACAGGCTAAACATGGCTCAGCAAAGCAGAATCTAATTTTCGAAAATATAAAACTTTATAGGAACTTTGCCTGTTGAACATGATAGACTTTCCCTCCATTTCTGTTTCTTGCTAAAAACTTAAAAAATTATATATGTTTAAAAACTGCTTGTGTTGTTAAAAGAATCAAGTAACCTGTAGGGTTTCCTTGTCAACCAGCCTGCATTTCTGTTCTCCTTTAATTACTTAACAATTGGCCTGAGCAGAATGAAGTGTTCCCTGCATACAACATGTCAAACAGGAGAAGGGAAAAGAACTATGTAGGCTTCCTTCATAGCTATAAAGTAGTTACACAGATTAGAAATAAGAAATATGTATGTCTATACCGAACACAGATTTCTTTGGCAGAATGACGTAAGTGTAGCACATAAAATTAAGCCTCTCGGAGTTAACCCTTTATAACTTTGAATAGTTGCCTATATACTAGCTATACAACTCTCCTTCAGTAAAATTTAGAAATTTTCTAGAACTCTAAAAGCACGGGTAGAATTTTTGAGTTTGCTTAAAAGGAGAAGCATGACTTCAAATGTATAAATGTAAGTGTGTATGCAGATAGATGGCCCAGTATATTATTATTATGTAGCTTTACATTTGTGCATGTTTTTTCATGTATCTGTATTTTTTAGTCCAGTTTGTTAGTATTAACAAATTAAATTAGATGGGTAACACTTATTTTTGTAAAAACATCAGGGAGTAGTGGAAGTACTGTTTGAACCACATGTTTTTGAAACATTTGGTTTGCTGCTAAGCCTGTAAGAGAATAAATGCTGTCAATCTAAAATGGAGAGTGTAATAATCCAGTTACAGTATTTTGTAAACAAATCTTTTGTGAAAGGTCTGATTTGTCTTAGCACTATCAGAGTCTCAGAGGAAAAATACGGTGCTATAAAAGGGAAGTCAATGCGTCATCGATTGTTCTTTGGATTCTCCCAGGAAAGCATCCAGATGGAGGCCTCTATGGCAAGGGACCCTCCTACTCGAGTTACTCTGGTTACATAATGATGCCAAACATGAACAACGACCCATACATGTCCAATGGATCTCTGTCTCCACCCATCCCGAGAACAGTGAGTAACACGTTGATGTTGCAGATTATTTTCAGAAATACAAATCAGTTTGTATTTTGGCAGAATGTTTTTCTTTTCAAACTCACCGGAAATGCCTTCATTATATATAACCGGTCCTTGCTAAATAGGAGCTGTTACGAGGAATGGCCACCTCAAGGTAGTGCTACTAGTGCTACCTTTGATGTCTTGCACTTGGAATTTTAGCTTTCGGTTTATTGGCTAAAATTAGTAAATAACAGATCCTGAGTTATAAAATCAAATGAAGTTTCATCAACAAATCCATGGTTTTATGGGCCTTGTGCCTTCTATGCTAATGAGAGGGAAAACTTGATTTAATCTTCTATATACCGAGGACCGGATGGCTTTCAGTGCCCACAAGCTGTCAAGAATCAGAACTGCTTCAGCTCATTTGAAGCTGAACATTCAGAATGTTACTTTGCCTTTTAAAACACTGCCTCATTTTACGGTATTAGCTAATTGGATTTAAGATGGTTTGGTGGTGGTGGTGGGGAAACGAGCTACTTTTACTTACTGTCAGTTGTTGAGAAAGCATCACTTAAAGGTAACCCTAATGAAAGTTGTTCTTTTTTTCATCCTGTGGTTCAGTTAACTTTGAATGTTCTAGAAGGGCAGTGGTATTATAACTGTATGATGCAAGCTCATGACATTATGCAGAATTTCAGGTCTGTTACAGGTAGTTCTGTTTTCTTGGGAATTATAAACCTCATTTATATAGGGAGAGAACATTTAAATGGTAACTTGTATGGTATGTGAACATGAATTGTGCTGTTGGTGGAGTTCTGTCTGAGAATCACCCCTCCAGCAGTGGTGCTGGATTTTTACTGATCCATCAATATATTCACCTTCTCTCCCACCATCACCCCCCCCACAAAGAAAAACACATGTGTATGGATCTTGGGGACGCAAGTTTCATTCTCACCGACCCTCCTGGCTGTCAGATCCTGGACCGTAAAATAGAACCTGTGGTGTTTGACGTCTTTGCCCAGTGCTTTTCTACCAGCTGAAAGAAACCAGTCACAAACATCGGGGAAGAGTAGTGTTGTTAATACAACCCGGTGAATAGAACCCGGGAGCGAGATCAGTGACGCAGCAGAGAGGAATGGCTCATAATCACTAGTTTCCAACAAGAGTGTTTGTGGTTCTCTTGATTATCCGGGGCCATCGATTGTTGAAATAATAAGTACATGAAATATAATCACTTTGGGCACTGGGATTTAGAATTTATTATTTTCCCACAAATCTCAAAAAGATATTTGACCTGTTAGACAAGGGAGTAAGATTTTTCTAATTTTCATATAGCAGTTAGAACACTGACCTTAAGGATCTAATCTTGGAGATCTCGTCATGGTTGCTATAGGGAAATAGGTAGTCTGTGTTTTGTGTCAAAGGGATTTTCAAATGTTTTATGATAGAGATGTCTTGTGGCACATAGGAATTCCCTACCTAAAAGGTAAATGAATTAATAAAAGCAAATATAGTTTAATAGTCAAAGACCACCTGAAATAAATGCTTCTGAGTTACAAAAGTTGTGGGGGATTTAATATTTGATGAACTAAATATGCAAATATGTCAGATATTTCTTCCATACAGGTTTTTTGTTATTTTGGTGGGGAAGAGGAGAAGGAGAATGTGTTTTAGATAAATAATTGAAGATTTCTGTTCGAAACCTTTTTAGAACAACAGATCTTTTCAAATCAAAGTCTAGTCTTGGTAACAACAGAAGATACCACTCAGAGTGTTACACGTTTCAGCTGTGATACAGTTAATGTGTATTTGTAGAATTTATTCCTTAAAGTGATCAGCCACTTCTTTCAAAATAATTCTTAAAAAGTCGGTATAATAAAACTTTATTGGTATTTATTAATAATCCCTAAGCATATTGAAAATTAAGCTTTTCCCTCTTAAAGCCAACATTCTGCTTTATGTCTCTATGGTCTTCTCCCACTCCCTCAGTGTACTAATCTTGAAAATTTTGATAGAATGGAAGGTATTTATTGTTGCTATATGTATTAAAATTTTGAGGTCAGTGAATCAAACAGTCATTCATTGTTTAGGGAAGATTTGTGGCCAGAATAAATGTCGGCAGGGGTGGGTGGTAGAGTGGAGTAAAGGGGTGTGGTCAGGAAACAGTTACCTTACCCTGTTATCTGCTGCTTTGCTTTATTCTGTTACATATTAGACTGTATTTAGGTTAGGCACTTTTTTTTTTTTTTTGAGATATTCTGCAGTTTGCACAATTCCAGAAGCTTTTCAGTTTTAACCACAAGACTATGTCAATTTTTCTTTTAGGGTCTGACCAAAGTGAGTTGCAGTCTTTGGTTTTTAATACCTAACAGCTGTTTTTAATGTGTCTGAGATCAAAAACACTTTAACCGGAAGGCAGCCTCTCTTCTTCACCCCTAACCACACTAATGCTTTCTTGCTCTTTAACTCTGTCCTTAGCAGGACAGAGGGTTTCTGTCGCTGACATCCACAGTGATGGATTTTCATCTAGGGTGTTAGGAGCAGAGTGACCATTTGTGTTTGGGCATCTCCACTACTGGAATTTGCATTACAAACAAGTGCTTGTTTACTGCATCTGCTGCCTGATGGGTTAGGACTGGGAAAACTTCTGGGGGTAGGGGAGGGACTTGACCACCCCTTCCCTATATAGAGTCTTCTGTTTGTATGTTAACTGCAGGTAATCCAGAAAACACCTGCTGTGGCCAACAGGCAGGCACAGAAACATTTCTGCTAGCATCTCATTTTAACAAGTCTGTACGTTGTTGCTCCTTTTTAAGACAAATACCGGCATATGCGTGCTCATGCAGCTGTTACCTGTGACCTAAATATAGTATTACCTATTCAGGAGAACCACCTCAAATCCAGCTTTTTTTCCTTCTGAAGGAGAATTTCAACTGGCAAATTAACGTCTTTCTAGAAATGGAATTCTTAAGGGTGTAAATTTGAAATAAAAATTTTTAGTTTAGATAAATTGAGCCTAAGAAGAAAGCACCTATCATAACCCGTCTGATGTCAGCGTGAGTTCATAAGGCGCGGCAAACCTTGGCTCGAGTTGGTGTGTTCGCAGAGGGAGAACAAGGTGCAGAGCCCGTTCAAGATTTTAGAGCGAGGACCCTGGAGGGTTTATTAAAAGCATACTCCCGAGCCTGCCATTCACTGAGCCTCATTTATGAACATCCCTGTGGGCCAATGGCAATGTGTTAAAGGAAGAAGATAGTTCTTTACATCCCTGGTTCGGTCCTGGCATTTGTGTGCTCAGACACGGTGTGGGACGTGAGCTTGGCTGGTTCGGCCTCACGCACCATGGTTGTTCATCGTGGGTGTCAAACGTCCATTTGTCCCTCATGCAACCCAAATGTTTAACACCTCAGGAGAGAAACGTGGCATTTCTCCCCAGATGCGTGGGGAGAATAGCAGCCGGCAGGGCAGGAAGTTGCAGCAAACGGTGGGGCTCAGGCGCACCAAACCGCAGGGACACCTGGTCAGCGAGCGCTGCCACCTTCCTGGCCTCACAGACGCTCTTTGTGAGCTTCCTTAGAGTGAATTTTTAGGTGGGAAAGGAAGATATTTGTGTTCTCATTTCAGCTGTCTTTTTGATTGTTTTTTTTTTTTTTAAGTAGACATTGCTATGAAAATGTTCCAGAAGTTCTTTTAAATTATTTTGCATAACTTAGTTCTATTATGTGAATTTTACCTTAAGGGAATTAACATTTTGATTTCCGGCTAACGGGATTATACCTGTCATAATTTTGTCTCACCAGCGCCCCCGTCCCCCTGTGTTTGCTTTTGCTTATAAGGAGCTAAAATTTGATTTTGTCGTCGTTCATATCTGGAATTCAGGAACCAAAGTGGACTTGTCTAATCAGTAAGCTTTGGAACGCCACCGTACGTCACTCTGCTGTGTAGCTCTGAGAATAGTCACAGAAATAATAATTCAAGGGCGGAGGGAGACTGGCTTCTATCTAATGCAAGATTTTTAAGGTGGAGTATCTTTATTTTACTGCAGGGAGCTACTTACTGATAAGTTATTTTTAATTTTCTGATTTAAGTTGTGTACGTTTCGAAGCCAAGCATATTGAGTTTTCTCCTTTGTCTCAAGTGTAGGACAAGTTTTAGGAAATGTATTCTTTCTCGAATTTGGATGTAGAGGTCAGGAGAATGTGTGGGAAAATTCCTCAGGGCCCCAAAACTTTTCTGTTTGATCCCTTCTTTTATTTATTTTTA